AAACTGCCATATATTTGAATGATAGAATGAATCATGAAGAAAGATTGCACTTGAAAAGATTGAATTTGAAAAGAAATGAGGGAATATCATTGGACTATCTACCGGATATTATTGTTAGCATCTGAGTGACCAGTAAATTGATGTGAATTGGACATTTTTATTAGACATACAAACTTTATTGTGCCATAAAGTTTGTTGTGCAGAAAGACTCTTATTTTGTATACATTTTGTAGTTAGTTTGAAACAATTTCTTAAATTTTCTGTCCAATTGTAATGTGTAACAGATAAATGGACTTTTTTTCACAAGGGTTGGTGCAAAAAACATTTCCCAAGCTTATAGATTTTAGCATAAGCAACGGGAAAGTTAGTATCTAATGAAAGAGTTGGAAGTAGTAGTGTGCTGTCCTAATTGGGTACAGGATGTTTGTTTTGTAAAGGCTATACCATGAAATGGAAATGCTAAAACACTTTGCCAGGCTATTTTGTAAAATATACTTTTTTCTAAAGAGATTTCTTCCTTTCTAAATAAATAAAGAACAGAGGAACAATTGCCAGTTCGTTATCTGATCTCTAGAACTTCGTGTTAACACCAAAGTTTAGCGAAACATGCGCAGGATGTTGTTTTAAAAACCTAAAGATATGATAGGAAGAATATATGTAGCATCAAAGAATAAGCTTGTTATATTTCTGAAGGATGACTTCAATGAGTCTAAGTCAAATAATGGACACTCATTTTTCTCTTAAATGTGGCAAGTGTAGTAGTCTTGTAGTTTGTATTTTAAATCTTTCTTTCAATATATGTACATATGTCTTTTTCATTATAGAGATTTTTCCCTCCAAAGTCTGACTCTGTGATTCCCTGCTGGGTTTATTTCATACCAATGCTGAATAATTTTGAATCTAGACAAATTCTTGTGCTAAACCAATGTTCTTTACCATTGTACACAATGGATCATACATTTTAACTCTACAAAAACACCACTATTAGTATAATAAACAACTACTACATTTTAAAAATATTTACTTGCTCAAGTATAATGAAATTATAACCCTCAATTTAATTATAATGTCAAGCTATCAATTTCTTTTTTATTTATCATTCATGTTTGAAACAAGTGAAGTAATGAAGTGAAGTGAAATTGCTCATGTACCCAAGACATCTGTGGGGGAGGGAGGGGCAAGGGAGGGGCAAATGACAAAGAGAACAGTTATATTAAGACCTAACTGAAAGGGACAAAGCTTGAGTAGTGATACAATGCTGTTTTCCTTATTTTGATGAAAGTTCTTTTTTTTTTTCAATATAAAATTTTATTGTTTTTATCATAAAAGAAAAAAATACATCACAGATATTACACAATGTTTTATCCCATCCCCCCACCCCCCGGACTTCCCAAACCAAACCTAGGCTAATATTCAAATACAAGTAAACAAATATTAATATCTCTAACTCCAAACTCTAAACTTAAACAATCCATCTCCTCCGT